TCAGTTTTCCCCTCCCTTCAATGGCCATCACGGCTGATTGGGCCCATTCCAAATAGTTTGTTCCATCAAACTTGACTCTAGTAATCTGAAATGAACTGTTATCAGTAGAGTTTACAGCTCCTATAAGTCCTCCATTTGGTTTGTTTTCATTTCCAGCCATTTCCATGTTGAAGTGTACAAAGAGTAATCACTGAATGAAGAGTATAGAACTGTCCAAACTCCTTTTCTAAACAGAAATTCAAGGTACTGTACAGCACCCAAAGGAAGTAGACAACTTTAGAGACCTTTTTACAAACACCTGGTGGGCAGTAGAGGAGACCACACTGCTAAAATATAATACAGCCCAGAAAACAGTCCGTACAGGAGCTCTAAACAGTCCAAGAGAAAAAAACAACCAGCAGTACTGATTCCAGAGATATTTCAGCCACTTGAGTGTCCAAAAAATATGAAAACAACTCAGAAATTTCTGGGCTAAAGCAGTAAAAAGAACAACCGAATAGCTGTACTAACTTCAGAAAAATAAAAACAACCCAGAAATTACTGGGCGCCACCCTCAATCTCTGATTTAAGCTCTAAATCAAAAACCAACCTGTTTTTCTCCGATTCTTCCTGGTCACTGGACAGCTCTCCAAGAGATTTGAATCTTGGGCACGTTCTTTCGATCTCCAATGACCTCCAAGAACCAGGCGACTAAAGCTGAAGCTTCCAGCCCTAGAACAACTCTCATGTAGTTGGCTGGACAACACCTACATGAGAGCCCAAGTCAGGTTTAGGCCTGCTCTGATACCAAGTTGTCTGAAACCAAGAGGGTTCAGACCTGTTTAGTAAGAAAAGTAAACCAGAAATGAAGAGAAGAGAAGAGGAGAAGAGGAAGAGAGAATAGAAGAAAATGAGGGGTTTGGCGAGCTTAGTCTGCCGCCCCAAATGATATTTAAAATATGTCTTCAACATTAAGAGGTATAATGACAGGAATGCCCCTGTCACTAGAAACAATAGAAAAAAAAGGTCTAACAGTACTATATACAAGAAGAACATGTGAGTAGGTGGGACCACAAGCTGGTCAACCATTTTCTCTACATTTATAAAATGGGCCAGTCTCTTTTATAGTAATGAGCCAACTATTTATGTTGGCCGGCCCACTAGTTCCAGTTGGGCCTGGCCAACATTGGATTGTTTCTCCCCTTCCACATGACCACTTAAAGGTTCACGTGATTGACCCCGGTTCAAAATATCCACCTGACTCGAATCTAGTTTCCGGTTCATCCCTTGGTTTTCTCTCAATCCTTTCTCCATTCTTGTAAGGATTTGAAATTCCTGTGCATGCCTTGCATTAATTTCTCCTGTCACCATCTGGGCATAGGAACTGCCATACGTCTGTCTACTCTGCCCAACATTATTTCCCTGGGTGCTAAAAATATCATCTTGCCTCTTATCTTTTTTGTTTACCGCTTTTGACTTTGCCAATTTTATGCTAATGTCTCTGTCTTGCAACCCATTCAAGCTGACCGACTCTCTCTTCATCTTCTACCCTGTGACCCTCCTTCCACAGCTGAGCTTCAATGGAGGTTGTCAGCCAGACTGGGTATGAGAGTCCATCTGCTAGTAATTCTATCCTTCTTGGAATGTCGCCAGGTTTTACTCCACCAAGCTTTACTGCAACAGAGTGAAGATCACAGTCAAAAACTCCATCTAATCTGGCATCACACACAGAGGCTATTGACTATAACGTTTCTTTATTTCAAAGGTTGAACGGAAGGCCAAGCAACCAGACAGTTACATTATCCTCAGTATCAATGCTTTTGTGTTTGAAAGTGGACACCATTTCAAAACTGTGAAGGCACCTACCTCTGACTGAAAATTTAGTGCCATGATTTCTACTTCAACATCACCCAAATTGAGCAAGGTCTTGCATCTGTCGTAGGGTGTGATAAAAATCAAATTTATCAATCTTAACTCTCTCAGAATCACCTGTGCAATTCTTTTCCAGTCTTTTGGTGGGGCTGACGTTTCAATCACATACTTCCTTCCCCACTTCTCCTTTCCAGCTGAGGCTACTAATTTACAGTTTCTTCTTCCCTTTTCCATTATTACCAAACTCTGCTCAGAGATATCCTCTATTCCAGATTTCCTATCCATCTCACTAGCCTTTGTTAATAACTCTGCTTGTTTAGATTTCAGCCGAAGCACACAATCTCTCAGCACCCCTGCAACTTCCTTCCATCCTTGACCCTTTTTACCTTCAAGGAAGCAAACTAGCTGCTTCTTTTTTTTACCAAAGTGTTCCTGTAGTGCTATGTAGGAACCTTTGGCATTTTTTTTGCATTCCAGAACATACCTCTTCCTTGCTTCCATTTTGAACTCCTTATAGTTTTCTTCTTTTCCTTTAGAACATGCTCCCATAACAAATTCCTGCAACCATTCAATCACTTCAAGGCCTTCCAGCAGAACCATGGCTTTCTTGGCCTCCCTGATCTTCAGACTCGGCAATCCTCTGATCCTGATCTCTTCAAATATCAGATCCTTAGCTTCTATATTCATAGCTTTCCTCCACCTTCCTGCGTCCACATATCTCTCCATCTTATCAAGAGCAGTTAGGATTATCTTAATTCTTTTCTCAAATTGTGTGTTCATGAAGTTTTTAACAATCATAGGAACCTCATCTGGTCATCCCGGCTTTTTGTCGAGTAGAGCCATGTATACCTACTGTAGTCATCAATGAAGAGAATGAAGTGTGTATACCTATCCATGAAAGGGATAGTATATGGGCCCCAAACATTAGTATGTACCAAATGGAAAACAATAATGCTTCTTCTATTACATGCAAAATATGTGGTTCTACATTGTTCGGATAGATGACAATCTTCATATTTAGGATTCAACTTTGATACTAAGGCTTGAGCTAAACAAGTTTGGAAAGAAAAGTTTTATAGAATTAAAAGAAATATGACCAAGATGGCAGTACCATAATTGCAAAAGACTCATTTTCTCATTAGAACAAAACTCAGTTTGGCTCAACAATCCATACTTTGAAGTTCCATAGGAGCACTCCAATGATGACTTTAATTGCTAAAATAACTCTATTAACTCATTTCTGATCCTACTAAGACTTACTTTAAAGACACCAGAAATTACTAAAAATAGTAAACTGCGAGTTTACTAAAAATGGTATTTACGAGAATTACTATAAATAGTAAATCCCGAAAGTTACCATAAATAGTTATTATGAAACAGAAATAAAGTGTAAAAGACAGAACCACATTCTTGAGGCACCAGCAACTAGAAAATAAAAAATCTGAAACAATACCAATATCCTATAACCCAAAATTTCCAAAATTGGCATAGGAATTGGAAAACTGGATTAACTCTCCATTGATTCTTTTGTTGCTTCCATATCTTTTTTGTTTTTCAAGAATGGGTAGCTATTTCTTTCAAGCAAAAAGATTGAGATGTAGATGCGAGGATGTGCAGCGAGAAGGGATATGCAACAAAAAGACCCAAAAAGCCTCTTCAACAACCAGGTGATCTATTTGCACCATACAGTAAGTTCTTCTTCAATCCAGATTTAGCTGAGGAATCAGCCTTATGTTAGGAAAGGAATTATAGGATCTTCAAGGAGGCGGTCTCCCATTCTAAAGAAGCAGCAATGGAGACCATCTTGATAAGAGTGACTCATTAGGTCAAAACTCTTCCATTGTTCTACCCTTTTCTGTGGATGATATTGTTAGAGGTTGGTCCATGTAGCTAACTGCTCTAGCACAAAGGGCAGCAATTATCTCACCTTGGACAGCTCCTAGTGGTAACGAAATTAAGCTAAACTTGATGGAAAGAGAATGGGAAATCAAGGTCTATCAGGCATTAGAGGAATTTTCAGGAATGGTAATGAGGAAATTTTTGCATTGTTCTCGTGACCAATAGGCCAAGGGGATTCACTAAGAGCAAATTTATGGCAGTACATCAAGGTTTGAAGTTGGCTAAGTCTCTAAATTTATGTAATCTGGCAGTGGAAGGTGATTCTCAAATTGGTATAAACTATTTGTTGAGTTATTTTTATCTTAGAAAAAACTATTTGTTGAGTAATAATGGGGGACCATGGCAGTATCAACAGGTGATGGGGAAGATAAGGAAGTTAGCACAAGACTGGAGAGTTTAATTTATATGGACAAGAAGGGTGGCGAATTGCATGGATGCTCTAGCCAAACAAGGGGCCAACACTCAACAGGGATATCTTATTTTGGGGAATGACACTTGGGGATACTAGTACTAGTAGTTAACTGATGTACCATGCTTTGTAATTAAGAATGTTTTTCAATTAATAAAGTTTTCAGTTACCAATTAATAAAACCTGCTAGGCTTTTTTACCTGCCTCCATCTGGTTATTTTGTCTATTGTTGTTATGAGTTCCTCCATAGTCTGATTCTAATGAGCCAACATAACAATCAAATCAATAATAATCTTTGGGATGCTGCACCCTCCTTGAGTAGCTGCTTTGATGCATTCAAGGTTATAAAAGTGGATTTGAAGGGGGAAAAAACCATGTTTCCACATATTTAGGTAAGGGAAAGGGAAAAGTGGATCATGCATGCATCTAGAGGGAGGGAAGGAGACCTGATTACTGTTGTTCCATCAGAGGGGAGGAATTATTCCTTGAGAGATCATCTCCTGTTTCTGTTCATGATCTCTGGTTCAATCATGTTTATCTCTGTGAGAGAAAGACATATTTCTTCTCCTACCAGTAAGAATCACAGTCCTTCCCAGAGATGCCATCATCTATGTTTCTATTTGATGATCTCTGCCTTGACTGTGTTTGTCAGAGAGAGGAAGAGTATCTACAACATGACACAATTGGTAGCATAATATCTAAGTTAAAATTATCTGTGGTTTTACAGAAGTTTATTACTTATAAATGTTTTAGTTAACTTATAAAGAAAAATTCCGTAAGAACCTTGCATTATGAATTCTCTTGATTTTAATTATGACAAAGGTTGCATTTTGATGCTCAGGGTCTGGTGAAGCTCGATCTCTTATGAAGGAAATAGCATATTTGGCTAATAGGGAAGAGAGAGTTGGTCCTTTAAAGCTAATGGTTATACATAGAAATACTGAGAAGATGCTAGCAGATGTCCTTGGGGCTACTGGGCAAATAACAATACTCTGCTATCACCATTCTGTGTCATATAAATATCAAGGGAGACTCCGGGCACAGAATATATTGTCTTCAGTTTATCATCTTATGTCTCATCAACCTGAAGATCTCCCCATCCAAACCCTAGACACTGCTGAAGACCTTGAAGAATTTTTCAGCTCAACGGACAAGGCTGTACTTCTCCTAGAATTTTGTGGATGGGGCACCAAATTATTACGCAAAGGAACTAATGGCAGTGAAAATGCTTTCGTAGTACAAGATGTGCCAGATGATGGTAGGTAACCTCATTAACAGTCTTTTCTCTCTAAGTACTTGTCTTCCTTTTTCGTTAATAACAGTTCCCCATCAGGAATTTTCATTATTATACTAATTGTTGAGAATTCTCAAATTAGATGTTAGTAATAAGTTAATAACCAATTCTTTGTCAATAAGATGTACAGATATTGTTTGCCTTGAAGTTTACACTCTAAGATGCTCAGGTGTTAGTAAGTTTACACTTTGAATATTTTGATTATCATACATTCTATCAAACAGATTATCATACTTGTACAGCCACACATTTGTGAGTTTCTTCCTCCTATCTTTTGGAAATACAAATATACTTTACCTTTTACCCAGAGAAAAGTATTATGAAGTGGCATGCAAGTCATATAATTTTTGCCTCTAAGATGCTCAGCTGCTGATAAGGACATGAACATGGGAAACAAGGATGTAGGCCATTTCTTGGGATCAAAGACGGGGATCTGGATACATTTACCCCATTTGTTTTGGTGATTCCATGCTTTTATTCCTAGGTTATTTATTTTATTTTATTTTTATATCTTGTGAAATGTTAAAACTTCTTAGATCAACAAAAGTTTTCTATTCTGATTTGTTAAAGTATATATTATTTTAGAAGTGTTCATAATATAACCCTAATAAGCGTCTATGCAGTAATATCTGCTGTTGTATCAGACACATTGTGTCTGACATGGGAATGATAAGTATGCATAGTGATGTCAAATACATCATAAGTTTATCATTTTTATATACCAATTGGCATCTGATTTCCCTTTATTTAAACCAATCCAATATATTTTGCAAGCTGAATAACAGCATTTTAAATTTCAGATTGATGTAACTGAACTACATGTGTTATGATAGATAACAGTTGTCAATCAACCAACCTGGTTCTGATTGAAATCACTTAAATTTGATTGTCAAAGTAGGTTTCAGCAGGAGAATAGATTAGAGAGGTGGAGAGAAGGAAGGGGAGAAGTGTGAATGAGTAAAACAGATTGTGTGGCTCAATTAAGATCCCATATCTTTTTGAACTTTAGTAATAGAGGGAAAAATTACAGATCTGCCCCTAGTAAGGTGGCTGCAGTTATAAACACTTATAACAATTACAAAGAGGCCTGGCCCATAATAATAGGCCCATAACTAAAGAATAAAAAATAAAAAAAGCCTCCACTGACAATCATAGAATATGCTGAAACATAAAACAATTCACTCTTTTGTACAATAAATCTATGATTCTTTTTTTTTTTTTTTTTGATAAGTAACATTTGATTTTATTAAATATGAAGTAATGATTTAAAAGGCATGCGTCATGCGTGCCTAGGTGCACAGGCGAGCACTCCTTTCAAAAGGCGCATGCCTGATGTGCCTTGCGCCTCAGCCTAGGCATGTGCCTTTTTAAAATTTTGTGCTTTTTGTTTTTTTTTGAGTCTTAACGGATGGGTCGGGGGCTCCACCCCCAGACCCCCGACTGAGGCAAGCTTGGACAAGTCTATGTTAGGGTCTGAAATTCTTATTTCTCACATAAAAAATATCTTCTTAAAAGACAATGAAAGTTATAAAATCATTATTTTTTATGTGAGAAATAAGAATTTCAGACCCTAACATAGACTTGTTTGGGCTTGCCTCAAGGGGGTGTGGTACAAAGGTGACTCATAGAATCTAGAATGCAATATATTTTACATCACATTAGCTACTTGAAACAATGCAATTAAGGAAAAAACAGAGATTGTGGGTTTTACATGCTTGAAAATGCTTTATATGTTTGCTTTTGTTTTTAATTTTTCATTTGAATACGCTTTACATGTTATGTTTATGTTTTTTAATTTTAGATAATAGGTTTTTTAAAACAGTTATTTTAAAATTTAAGTTTATATTTTTATTAGAATTATGTTTAATATTTTCTTTGAATTTTTTGCACATTTTTAATTTTTTTGGCATTTTTTGAAATTTCTGACTTTTTTTTTAAATTTTTAGCTCTTTTTTTGTAATTTTTTGCCTTGCTTAAAAAGGAGTGCGCCTTGTCTTGTGCCTTGCGCCTCAGGCGCAAAATGGCCCTTGTGCTTTTAAAACACTAATATGAACATATATATGTATGTACTAGTGGAGTTCTGTGCGATGCATGGGAAATTCAAAAAGTTGATTAAATTTATTAAAATAACAGTAAATTACAATAAATGACACTAATTTTGTATAATTTTACACTTATTTATGATAATTTTCAATAATTAAAGATTAAAAATCAGAAAATAACAGTAAATTCAATAAAAATTAGATATTAAATAACAATAAATAACACTATTTTTTGATAATTTTCAACAATTAATGATTAAAGTCAGAAATAACAGTAAATTACAATAAAAAATAAATATTAAGTAATGATAAATTACACCAATTTCTGACAATTTTCAATAATTAATGATTTAAAATAAGAAAATAACAGTAAATTACAATAAGGAATTAAATATTAAATAACAACAAATGACACTAATTTTCGGAAATAAATGGTTGAAAACGTTGAACGATTATTAATATTCCGAAAAATATTAAATAATACTATAGTTATTTCAAAAATACTTTAATTATTATTTTTAGTTAATCAAACCAAAATAATAATAATTATTAGTTAATCATGTAATTATTATTATTTAATAAAAATGAAATGATTATTAGTGTAATTATTATTAGCAAGAATAACTATGATTACTGTAATTATTATTGTTTAATAAAATCGAAAATGTAGTAAAATATGTCGATGTGGAAATGGATCTGGGTCAGAATATCCAGAATCCGACCTGAGACATTGTCTTGACCCGTTTTGCGCTACAGTGGCCTCTTGACACAGTGACCACTGTAGCGACACAGGGGCAGATCTTGGTTGGTTTTTCAATGCAGAAGAAACCAAAACTGACCCATTTTATTTATACCAAAACCAATCCATTTGGTTTTAAACATATGGGGTTGAATATGGAAAAACGTTTTTGGTTTTAAATGTGCAGGTGCTCTCTGGGTTTTTAAACATCTTTGGTGTTTTGGTTGGTTTTTTTACTGCAGAAAAACCAAAACCACTCCATTTGACACCAGTGGCCATTAACCAAAAACCAAAGCACATAGCATAGAACAGATTTCTTTTTTATGTCTTAAAAATATCAACATAGCATAAAACAGATTTCTGGGTTTCTAAATGTCTGGGCTTTTTTGGTTGGTTTTTGACATTGGGAAACATACCTGGGTGTTTTGCCTATATTCTCTGAATCTGCTAATTAAGCTAAGTCTATGAATGTTGACAATGAATCTCCAACTGATGCGAGTCTAGAATGTCCCGAGCAATTGGAAAATACAAAGAGAATAGAGTGAAAATACAGAGAGAACAGAGGGAAAGGGTTGTATGACAACTTAGAATCTCAGTGTATCAAACCTAAAATAATGATTGATTCGAATTTGAAGTTGTTTGTTGGGGGTGGGAAATTCTGAATCAAGTATGTTCAATTACATGGAATAAAAAAAATAAAAAATTCAAAAAATTGTAAAAGTAGGAATTAGGGGTGGCAAATGGGTGGGTTGGATGTGGGTTGAGTACCAACCCACCCATATTGACCCTTTAACCAATTTTCCACCCATGTTAGTGGGTTAGAGTGGGTCAGAGTGGGTCATAACCCACTTTACCCACTCTGACCCAGACCCACCCTAACCCACCCATTTGACCCTCTAATTCAAATTTTCAAATTAGACTTTTTTTTTTTAAATTTTTTTCTATATTCTAATTGCATAAAAACATATAATTATATATTTTCAATTACAAAAACATAAAAATTCAAAAATTTCAAATAAAAATAAAAATGCATAAAAATACAATAAATGGAAAAAGAATATATATTCCTTGTAAAACATCAGAAATTGCAGAAAAAATTAGAAAACAATAAAATCCAAAAAATTGTATATTTAAACTAAAAAGAATAATCATAAAAAATACAGAAAATGATAATAAAAATCTCCAGAAATTATACATTTCAGGTAAAAATAGAAAAAAGTTACATAAAAATGATGAAAATTTTTATATATATTTCAACCAAAGAATAGAAAGAAAGAAAAATTACAAAAAGTAATTAAATAATAACCATCAATCCTCATTATAAATTTCAACTAAAATGATTTATAAAAAACAAAAAATACATAAAATATACAAAATAATATAAAAATATAAAAAAAAGTGGCCGCGGCGGTGCCTCTAGATCAGATGGTCCCGTCGCACTCACCGGCATCATCTTGCTCACCCCTGTTCTCCTCCTTCCTCCATTCAACCACCCCTGTTTCTCCTTCATTCGTTCAATCGTCGACATCATCTTGCTTGCCCCTGTTGCTCCTTCCTCCATTCAATCGTTGACGTTGATCTTCTCCTCTATTCCTTCATCAACATCAATATATTGGAAGAAGGAAACATCAATGTTGTTGATTCAAAGCTTTGGGAGAAGGAGTGCTGACAGTAAGTTTGAAACAGCGTTTCAAAACCTTCATTTTGCCATTGATTTGGGATCATGGTTCAACGATTCAACAGATTGACATCATTGCTGGTGAAGGTGAGAATGACGACAACAATTTGAGCGAGTAACAACGCACTTGATTTAGCCCTAAATAGTGAGAACGGTTGCAACGAGAGTGATTGTTGGAGGTTTTGCAAAGTCCTAACTGAGAATAAGAGAGAAGAGGAAAACCCTAACTGAGAAGAAGAGGAGAAGAAGAAAATTGTCAAAGCATCTAAGTTTAGTCTTTAAGTTGAGGGTCAATGGGTAACCCTTGACCCAACCCCACCCTGACCCTTTTCCCTTGACCCTAATGGGTCACTCGACCCATGTTGACCCATCATTAGAATGGGAGGGTTGGGTGGGTCAGATGGGTTGGTGTCAGAATTGCCAACTCTAGTAGGAATGGGGATTTTGGACCAAATTTTGAAGGGGAGGAAGGTGACACATGGACTGATTCACTTTAATTGGGAGTTTGTATACAATCATTTCAAAAGTCCTGTTAGAGAGGTTTAAACAAGTCCTACCTCCAGTGGATTCACCCTTTCAAAGTGCATTTTTGGAAGGTAGGCCATAGGCAAATTGTGGATCAAATTCTAGTGGCTAATGAATGTGTTATGGAAAAGAGGAAGACAGGAAAGAGGTGCTTGGTGTGAAGTGGAATTATGGAAAGCCTTTGATCTAGTGGATTGGAGAGTTCTTCTAGAATTACTAAGGAGGCTTTGGTTTGGAGCAAAGTGGAGATTATGGTTAAAGGGTGTATTAACTCTGTTCATTACTCAATTGTTATCAACAGTTTGGCAAAAGACTTCTTCCCGACTAGGTGAGGAATTAGGCAAGGAGACCCCTTATCACCCTTCCTTTTCTCCATAGTGGTGGAGGCCCTAAGTAGAATGGTGGTGAAAATAGATCTACAAGGCCTTTTTAGTGGGTGGAAAATTGGTAGAAATCAAGCAGTGGTCTCCCATCTCCAATTTGTCGACAACACAATTCTATTCCGTGAGGATGTTAATCTAGAGTTGATGAGAAACTTGAAAGATCTGATTGATAACTTTGTGGGCTTGATTGGATTGAGGATTAACGGGAGTAAAAGTGGAATTGCATGGATCAACCTGGAAGAGAGGGAGCTTTTGAGGTTTGTTGATTTATTGGGATGTGAGGTTAGAAATTGGCCTATGACTTAGGCTTGCCTTTGGGAGGGAACTGTAGGATCGATGGATTTTGGAAGCTATTAGTGGAGAGGTTTTCTAGGAAACTAGCCCTTTGGAAATGGAACTACATCTCTTTGGGTGGAAGAATCACATTGATTAGAGCCACAAGGCCAGCCTTCTCACTTGTTTCCTATCCACTTTCTATATCCCAACTAGGATAGCAGGGCAACTTGAGAAATTCATGAGGGACTTACTTTGGGAACCAGGTGAGGAAAAGAAGGACCACCTAGTAAAATGGGAACATGTTAGCAAACCTAAGGAAAAAGGGGGCCTGGGGTTGGGAAAGGTTGCCTCTAGAAATACTGCTCTGCTAGTAAGTGGTTATGGAGATTCCCTTTTGAGAGAGACAGGCTATGGTACAAAGTTATAGAAATCATCATGGGCTGGAAAGCAATGGATGGGATGCCAAAGTTGTCACTCACTCCTCTTTAGCTTCTCCTTGGAAAGCTATTCATGCATGAAGTTTACCCTATCTTTCTTAATTCCATCAGGTTTGATGTGGGAAGGGGAGATGAAGTATGGTTTTGTGAAGACTTGTGGCTAGGGGAGACTCCATTCAAAGATCATTTTGCAAACCTCTTTACTCTCTACTTTCAAGGGTGAAACTGTATCTAGACTGGTAACACCCTCCCCAACTAGCTTAAATTGGGGTTTGGGCTTCAGAGGAGGGTTAAGGGATTTTGAATGCCTTTCCTTGGTCCATTTACGTGACTCTTTAGGGCAAGTATTCCTAGACCCTTCCCTTGAGGACTCTGGACTCTAGAATTTGGGAAGCTTCACCATACAGTCGCTTCACTTGTTCCTCCTTTTTTTTAAAATCCTTGCTTCGCCTAACCCTTAAGGGGTGGACTTCTCAGTGAAAAAAATTTAGAGCAAGCCTATCCCACGTAAAATTCAAGCTTTCTGTTGGGAAATTTTCCTTGGTAAGGTAAACACTTGTGACATGCTGCAGAGAAGAAGGCCTTATGCCTGCCTTTCCCCTCACTGGTGTTTCTTATGTAGGTGCAGTGGTGAGATTCTATCTTATTTATTATTATCCTATCCCTTTGTGCATCAAATTTGGGAGTTTTTTTGTTCTCTTTTTGGGTGCAGGAGGGATCCCCCTCAAGATGTGGTGGGATTGTTTATTCCTAACTTCTTAAGGCAATCAAAGAAAAGAGGGAAGTTGCTCTAAAGAGCCACTAAAGCAGAAATTTGTTGGGTGGTTTGGGAAGAAAGGAATAATAGAATCTTTTCTAAAAAGAATAGGTCTTTGGAAGAATTGATAGAGTGCATAAAATTAAAGGTGGCATTATGGGTAAAGACATTAGATAGTTTCCAAATATTCTTAGTTACTGACATCCAAAGAGCCTGGGCTGCAGTAGCACAGTCATTGAGAGAAAGAGATAGGGTAAGGGTGGATCGTAAACCCCTAGAATACATTAGAATCAAGCTGAATTTATATGGGAGCTCAATCAGAAGCCTGGGGTTGGCAGGAATAGGAGGGTTAATCAGAAATGCTGAAAGGAGGATTTTGGCCTTGCTTTCAGGGCCAATTGGTATAGGAAATTCCTTGAAGGCTGAATTGTGGGCACTACTACAAGGTCTCTGGCTAGCAAAGCAGCCAGGTTTCAAACGTGTTGAGGTGGAAGGGGACTCAAAACTAGTTATCTCATGGGCAAACTGCAGCAGACATACTCCCTGGACTCTTAGACACGTGATAAGGGAAGTGGAACAGACTGCTAGGGATGTGGAGGCAGAATTTAAATGGGTGAGAAGAAGTGCAAATGGGTAGGTGTGAGCATTCAGTTTATTCGATTAAAAATTGAACTGAATAAACCGAAAGTTTAGAAACCGAATTAAAAAATGAAAACCGATTTGAAAAACGAAATAACCAAAACTGAAAATTTTGGTTAAAACTGAATTTCAATAATATATATACTATATTATATGTTATATATTAATATATATATTATGAAATCAAATTTCATTATATTATATATTCATATATAAATATATTATATATTAAATATTATATGCTATATATATTATATATTACATGTTATATAGCAAAGTTCAGTTAATTTGGTTGTTTTTGGTTAACTGAATTTCTAATTCTAAAAACTAAAACTGAAACCAAAATATTTAAAAGATTGAAATAACTGAACCAAGAACTCAAATAATCGAACCAAAGAAAATGAAACTGAAATTTCGGTTCGGTTTTTCGAGTTTAAACCGAATAATGCTCACTCTTACAAATGGGTTAGTTGATTCCCTTGCCAAACAAGGGGTTATGAGGCGGCGACTGTTTTGGGCTTCTATGTAATGGGGGTTTGAGAATTGGGGATGACTTCCCTGTCATCAAGCTGTATTAATTATCCCTCTAATTGATCTAATAAATAAACATTTTTTGCTGATAAAAAATGTTACAAATATGTTCAGGCTTAAGTTGCTGTCCCCACACTTAAGTAGGGACAATATTGTCATTGTATTTTTAAAGAGATAGGTATATATAACATATTCAATTCTCTCCTCATTCTATCACTCGTTCTTTCTTTTTCTTCTTCCTTTTCTACTTCTCTCTCTCTCTCCTTCCAACCCTAGAAGCAACATGACCTTGTTGAGAATTAGTAATGATTGAAATATAGCATGTACAATGTCTTCATTATAATAAAGGATGCAAACCCAAGTCTTTTACAAGGCATAATATGGAAGCGCAGAACTACAATAAACACAAAATCGGGCATCACAGCTTTCCCATATAAGGGATGCTCCCCTGATAATAATCAGATCTGCCTACTCCTTAAGCAAGACTGTCAGCTAAATGGATCAGATATTAATCCTAGTTGCTAACAATCTAGCATGACAAATTAACCTTATTGCCTCCAGAAACAGTTTGGGTACATCTCATTTGTTTGGGAAGGAATCTGTTGCACTTGAGTTGCCCCTGGTAAAATGTTACTTGATGTATTGACAAGAGCTTTGTTCTGCAGGTGTTGTCTTTGGATCAATTTTTGATGGGGAAACAAATGCAGCACTTCTATCCAGTGGGAGGAAATATCAGAAGGTGGCTAGTAGTTTTTAAATGCAGTGAGCTTGATTTTGGAACAAAAATAGAAGACTATGCATCAGGTCATGGAAATCTTGATTCCTATTTTCTTTGACTCAAAAGCAGGGGTTGGAAAATGAAAAGCTAACTTGTGAGGCTGAAAATGGGCTTGGTGGTATCCCTTGGCTAGGAGGGTTTACATTGGCAAATGACACTACTCCACTAGAGTATGATGTTGGGCTTTGCTGTACATTTGAAGAGTTTCGGCGATTTCAAAATTTCTTGTCAAATTTCACCACAGTTGCAAGGGAATTTTTCCTGCCTCCAGAAAGGCAAAGGTTTGGGATGGTTTCTGAAAGATCTTTGCTGTCATTTCTTGGTATTGGAAATTCAGATCCATGGCTGGTAATGATTCACTTCTCAGGATGCCCCAACTGTTCCAAAATTATCAAACAAGGAGAGGACCTCAGAAGTGCTTTGCGGATGCATCATCCCCTTGTTATAGAGGTAAGCTATGCAAATGCACCTTCTACTTCTCATGATGGTAGGGCTTGTTTGTTGTGAATCCTAGTCAGTAATCTGTTATCCTGTTGACTTGACATTGGAGGTCAACTGGGCTGGCCAAAGTACTAAGTGAGAATGTCTTAGGATAGGACTTGAGTAGGCCATTGTGAGCTGAAAAACCATATATGGAGTTTGCATTGACTTTGGGTTATTAAAAGATTTGTATTAAAAATAAAGAAAAAATGAGTCCCCCCCCTTCC